CATTACAATTACCATCATTAAAATTAGAATCACAATATGAAGATATTTCGGATGATGAAGACATGGGATTGATACCGGTTCATGTACAAGATGAACCGCTCTTTCATTCTCCAGTACCAGTCGAAGTCCGTGATGAGTTAGTAGTCCATGTACAAGATGGACTAACCGAACCGTCGCCATTACAATACGAACCTATTTCTGATGATGAAGAAGACCAAAATATCGTTTCACAACATAACCCTTCGTCAATGCATAATCGTCTAGTAACACCTCAACGAACTGTTCGAATGGAAAAACGTCGTTCTCCAGACAGTCACAAACAATATAATCAACTACAAAACCGTCGACGTCGAGCCCGCAGATATAAACATGAAGTAATTCGTTCAATTATCATAAATTTAGTGTCACAAAAGTTAAGCGTATACTTCGGTCTATGAACATTCGTTACGTCAATTTTAATGTAGTTGGCCACACACTATTCATTGGCATGAAAGATGACCGTAGTCGAGCGCAGTTGGAACAAATGTTACATGATAATATGTTTACCGAACCACACTATTATCGTTTATATCCACAATAATCAGGACGAAGTGATATACAACAGTCCAAATATTATGACAATGTTCTTTTTGTTTTTTTCTTCCATCGTTCAGATCAGTCAGATTTTTCTATTTAGTCAACTACCCGTGAACATTTTCAGATTTTCAGTTTTTGCTGAAATTTTCTTCTTCCTGGCTTCCTGTTTTTTTAGCAGTTTAGTGTGTGAGGACACCCACTTTTATTGGTGGGGAGGATTGTTACCGGCTAGAGCCTTACACATACCGTTTGAATAGTTCTAAATCGAGGCCTTCCATTTTTCCTTTTTTCGTTGTCATATCATATACATCTAGAGATGTTTTAGTACATTTTTCCTTTTTTTCTTTTTTCGTTGTCATATCATATACATCTAGAGATGTTTCAGTACATTTTTTTTCCTTTCTTTATATTCAAGAAGTTTTCGTCCATATTTAGATTGTTTTCATTTTTCTTTTTTCCTTTTTCGTCATATATATATTTAGTGCGTCAGATTAAAGGATATTCGTTATTGTTTTTTTCCCACGCGTACAGTAGACACATTTTGTCGTACAGTTCCTAACTTATACTATTAAAATCAAGCAGAAATATAAAAATCCTTGATATATATCGACATATATAGGTGAGTGCAGGGACACCGCTTATACACGCGTACAAAATAAACAGATTTTTGTTTAACAGATCGCATCTTCTTAAATTATTTTCCGGAAATCTTCCAGAGACCCTCAGAGATCTTTTAGAGATTTACTATGACTTTTGCCAGATTGCCCATCATTTTTTACCTATGCTCTGTTAATTTGACTCGATTTGAATGTAAACTGTGAGAGTTAGGAAAAAATCACTTGTCCGATTTTGGGCTAAACAGGACGTTTTTGAAACAAAATGACCTTATTCTAAAAGGAAAAAAGTTTTCGGAAAAAACTCTTCGTAACTTTGTTCTACGTTTTAAGCCGAATTTTTTGGCGCAAAAATGAAGTGTCTAGATGTTTATCCGGCTTAGGAATTAGAGCCGCAACCTTGAGGACTGGACATAAGACCTACACCTGTTAGGGGGGCTGCCAAAATTTCGTTTTACGGCAGAAGTCCTTTAAAGACACGTTCTTAGGGGCAGTTTGTGACGGGAAATCCGAAAAAAGAAGTATAAAAAGGTTTTGAGCTGAGTGGAAAAGACTAGACAGGTTTTTCTCAAAAAATACGATTTTTGAGGTTTTCCACCCGATCTCAGTTTTTTGCATTTTTCTCTCCAAAAAAGTGATCAAATCGAACTAAAAAGGTGATATTCGTAATCAGCACGAAATTCTGCATCGAGTGATGGGCTTTTAAGGCAAAAATAAAAACATGCTCCTCTTTTGAATTAGCCGCGCCTTACTGACCTTTTTCACTAAATTATTAACTTTTATTTATCAGAACAATACTTATTCATTCAATTGTTTTCTTTTTTCTGTATAAAGTTTCTAAATGCTTTTTTGCGCAGAGATGACGCTGGTCTATAGCCGCTGGAAAACTGTCGATAAAGTATCTTTCTACTTTGATATTAATAACATAAAGCAATATACTACTATTCATCCGATCGTCAATAGTGTTAGCGGCATTACTATATGTTTCAAAATAAAGTGGACTCGGTTGGTTTTTGAATAACGTTTGATCGGAATGAGCTAGAGGTCTGGTTTTCACCATTTTGAAGTAAATCCATGGGGCTATCGAACGACGTAAAAACTATCTGAAAACCTTCAGTTTCAGGTGATGTACCTTCTTGGACAAAATATCCGGCAGTGCCGCGGGCAGGATTCTAAATATAATTTTTGTTCTAAATTTACACCTAGATAGAGCAACATCTGCTCTACAAACCTAAACAAGTCTGGGACCTCTATATTTTTCGTTTGGTAGCCATAGGCATTTAACTAGGACCACCTGAGCAGCCTCGAGACCGACCATTTTTAGGGTTTGGAGCCTCAGTAATATATGCAAACATAGGTTTCCAACTGTGCTGATTCTCGTGGCGGTGTCTATTTTTCGAAAAAAGTTCAAAAACCTTGGGGAACCTTAGTGAAATAACCCATTTCTGCCTATTTTCATGCAAAATTAGAAAATTCATAACTGAGGCAGAATTGATCCAGACTATGTCAGAATATCACGATATAGTATATTTTACCTGCAACAAATGGTGGAGTCCAATAGAACTTTTAAAAACCAATATAAAATGCTAAGGTTTTCAAAAGATTTTCTAGAAATCTTCCGAAGTAAGAGAATATTTTATACTATTCTCACCCACAGAATCTCTTTGAGCAGATAAAATAGAGTATATCTTGATAGATTTAGTAAATTTAGAACAAAATTTTATTTAGTATTCTGTCAGGCGCGCGTAACTCAAA